TTTTAAAATACTCATGTATTTTGATGAATGTGGCAAGTAATTGAAAATTTGAAAAGCAATAAGCTTTTATAAAATGCTATATATATATAATTATATATATATATATATATATATATATATGCACAACTATGCACACATACTTGTGTTTGTACTTGTCATTTTTTCTCTCATCCTGCTGTACTTTCAATTAGTGTATTGTCAGCTACAAAAAAGAATTCTGATGTCAATCGATAAAGGTTCCATCTTTAGTAGCAAGCAGGCCATCTCTCTCTCTCTCTCCTCTCTCTCTCTCTCTCTCTCTCTCTGTGAATTTGAACTTTTTTAACTTTAATGTGATCTCTGTTCTTCTGTCAGTCACACCTCCATGGCAGAGCCTCTTCATAGTATCGGGTACCTCACTGAGCTCAGACATGTGCCATTAATATTTTATATGAAGACTTTTTTTTTCATATTAACTAATTCCATCAGACTCCCCACCTGAGCCCTCTGTCAAGGCTAGGTGTTTTTCAACCTTTTCAGCATGCCACTTCTCCACCTAAACTAATGAGAAATGGATGAGGAGGAGACCAAGGGGAGCTGGTGCAACCTCTGAGTAGCACCTCTTGCTGCGCGTATGTGCTGTATGCGTGTGCGTTTTTCTGAGGGCAAGAGAGAATTCAGATGTTTAAAAGCATTTAGAGAGTGAGAGCAGAGCTGGATGTGACCTTGTCCCTCAAGGGATCCACTTCTGAAGCTCTCTGGCATGCTCTTCGTCATTCATGAACTCTAACACACACATTCACATACTGCACACTTCAGCAATGAATGGAAACATATGGTACGCTAAACAACGTCATCCTGTTTTCAAAAGCAGTCCGAAGCACAGCTATGATGTCAGGTAACGCTCTCTAATGACAGATGTGTGTGAGCGACATATAGTCCTGTGCAAAAGTCAGAGACTTTTAACTTATTTGATTTCCAGTCAAAAACGGCTGTTAAGCCAAAAATGAAGTTATCCATGTTTCATTGTCAGAAAAAAGCAGGAAACATTTTATATTTAACAGAAAATTTCACAGAAACCTCTGGAGGGATATTTTTCCACACCTCCAAAGTTCAGTCTTAGAAGTTGGTTGCGTTTTCTGTTTCTCCTGAGGAATCTCAATTACAGATTTAGACTCATCAGTCCATAAAACTTTATTCCTGAGATGTCCAGTTATGATGTTCTAGTGCAAATTTTCTTCCTTTTTGTCTACAGTTATATGCAAAAGTTTGGGTGCTCCTGATAAAAATGATGTTTTCTTGTTTTTGTAAGTAGAAATGAATGAACACATCTTAGTTCTGCACATTTTTAAAACACAATTACTGCTTATGTTGTCTTTAATATGAAAACAAAGTCAACACAGAGCAGTCAGTTCAGGGCTGAAGGCAAAATGAGCCCTGAAATGATACTGAACATTTTAAGTGTAGTTTTGACATAATAATACATAATAAAAATAAGAATTCCTAGAAATAAAGAACAGGGATATGAAACAAACTGACTACAACAACTGATGATGTTTATTATCATTTCTTAGTGATATGATTAAAAATAACCACGTTACACCTGTGTAGCGAAAGGCTGCAAATGTAGCCTAAGAAATCTTGCTGACTACACTTTCACACAGCCGTCCTGTTTCTTTGTACTGAACTGAAGACTGAAGTAAAAGGGATTAAGTCAAATAAAAGATAACTAGCATTTACACAAATGAACGACTGCGAAAATTACATTCAGCATAACAAAGCCGAGCGCATCCTCACTCACACGTTTGATCAGTGTAGCTGAGACACTAGAACGTGACAAACATGGAGATAACTGACTGACTAACACATGAAATGCCCCTATAGATCCATACAAATTGGTATCAAACACTGATATAATGCCATTGATATTAGTTCACCTATCAAAGATATTTCACTTGCATTGGAGCATGAGCTGGGATTCGTATTCTGTAAACCAACTAAAAACTATAGAAACACAAATTTACACAATTTTGAATCTCAAAACAACAGTTTTAACAATTTTATTACTTTTGTATCATATGCTGCTGTCTAGACTTCACTGTCTCTTTATCTGATAAACTAAACACTTTTATGTGCTGGAATACTTAGTCTTATTAGGTGATTCACTGGAATAAAAGTGTGCAAAACTTTTTGTTAGAAATCACACATTTTAATACACAGTTACTGTTTATTTGCTGAAATTAAAATAATGGAAAAATTTCACATAAAATGTGGCCTGGGCAAAAGTTATGGTACATTTTTTAAATTTTATTATTTTCTAATATGTTGACCTCAGCAAATAAATAGATGTTGTGCACAAAAATGTGCAGAACAATGTCATATTTGAGTCTGTTGTTGAGGATGTGTAACTTATTTTCACTTAGAAAATCAACAGAACATGTCATTTGACCAGAGGTATTGAAAGTTTTGCATACGACTGTATTTCCTTTTCTCAGTAATGGTTTCTTGACAGCTACACATCCTTTCATTCTCATAATGTTGAGTTGTCTTCTCAAAGTGGAAGGATGGACAGAAGCACTTGTGGATTTTTGGGGATTTAAAGCAACTTGACTTTCTTCTCTATCTCCAAGATGGAAGCTGTTTATCTGAGGGTGACAGTTTGAGAAGTGGACAAATTAAATACTGTTGGATTTGGCATTACATTTTTTGCTCAATTTTCTGTTAAATATATATATTTTTTTTGCTTTTTCTGACCCTGACAAATTAATACCATATACTAATTAATGGCTGTTATGACAGGAAATTAAGTAAATGCAAGGGTGGTCCCTTCCCTGGCTTTTGCACACTACTGTATGTGTACTCTAACTGACTGGAGCTGAGGAGTGGGGGGGTCATGGGAAACGCAGTCATAAGGTCTCGTGGCCCATACAAAGGAGGAGAAGAATAAATAAGCAGGAGGGCCCATGTTCTCCACATTCCAGAGTAAATGTTGTTTTCTTTCCCTGATCCTTGTTTAAAGAACTAAAGCTCTTTTCTCATCTCTTTGCATTTGGTGTCCCTCTCGATGGCCCTTAGGTCCTGGGCCAAGTTTATGACAGTGGTGATAAAAGGCTTTGGCTGCTGGCGGGGTCAGATTCTCCCCCATCAACTTCATATTTCCATGCACATTTACATAGAGCTCTTAAATGCAGCCTGGGCAGAAAGCGTGTTCATTTGAGACTTTCTATCTTCGGCGCTGAGAGCCATTACAGTAAGCCTGTGGCTTAGTGTTGATGCTAACTGAAGCGTTGAGGAATGCCAGCATCTGGCTATCACCTAGCTAGCGGAGCGTGGACTTAAAGCTTGCCTCCCAGCTGCTCTACTGCACCATTATCCAATGCGAAACAGAGCTGGTAATGGGGGAAACCTTGGGAAGGCCTTACACAGCTGTGTACGTTTCCTACATAGTGCAGATCCCCCTTTTACCAGCTTCTGCTCAGGCCCCGCCACTCTGCAGAGAGCTCATTAGAACAGAGGGGGCTGCAGCTCTGATAATGTAGCTTTGTTGACAGGAAGGGGGACTGAAAGAGGAGCACACAGTCCCCGGCTCAGGCCAGAGAGGTGGAAATGACAGCACCTGGTGCGTGGGACGGCTGTGCGACAGAAGGAGAGGAACAGAGAGAGAGAGAAAGGGAGAAAGAGGATTTGAGAATTGTTGGGAGGAGCAAGCAGGCTCTGTGTTATCAGTGTCATTTTAAGACATCGTTAGCAAGCATTTGTGACAGAATGCAAAGAACTGATTTATCCACACTTGCTTTGGATCTTTAACCCTTAAGACCCAGGCCTGTTGGTCACTGTTGTGAATCATTATATCGGAAGACCAGGTAAAATGACAATTACATTTACTTTAGTAGAGAAACTGATTCTATATAGAACCAAGAACACTCATAGAACTCCTTGCACGATTAAAAGGTTCTTGACATTGTGAAATGGTCCTTCAGATTGATGGAGAACATGTGGTATATGGTTCTGTATAGAACCTTTTTGAAAAGGGTTCTATTTAGTGCCTAAAAGGGATCTGCTATTGTTATGGTATAAGCTTGTTATAATAGAAGAACCCTGTTTGGTGGTATATAGAACCATCTAGAGCACTTTCTCCACCAATCTGAAGAACTATTTTACATAACTACAAATAATACTGGGCTTCCTTCCTTCCAAATAATTCTCTGAGGCTTGAAAATGGTTAAATGAACATTGACATTTCATAAAACCACTGATAATTGTATTAATATTAGTGCTTTTCTGAGCAAGTAAATACTGATAAATAGCCTTCTAAATCAAGATTGGTAGGGGTCTAAAACTTTTGTATAGTTCTGTATAATGTTAAAGAGTGGGCTTTACGTATGTAAGTAATACCAATGCTATATTATGATTAATTTGAGAAATAAAAATGCACTTTTCATTATATGTCAAATGTTATTTTTTTTCAGATACCATGTCCAAAGTTGTTGCTAATGGACACAGCACATTTTGGAATGAAACTCTTAAAATGTTGGACACTACACATGTCTTGGCTGATCGATTTCATCTGGGCTAAGGGGAAAACTGTGTCAAGTTGATTTTTTGCCAGCCTGTTCCTTTAATCAAGCTGCGTATTTTCAAGTTCACGATATGCTCTCTTTAGCAAACTAGAAGCGAGAGCCAACTATTATCTCACTTTGGAGCAGGGATCCTCCAGTTATTACCCACTGAGGTATCTAGCATTACCCACTGAGACCGATGAAACGTGGCTCATGCAGTGACTGTGTTTGTGTGTGTCGGTGAGATGTTAATGCTTGTGGAGTACTCTATGCGTGGGCAGAGTCACAGTTCCATAGATGACTTCACAGGAGGCACCTCTAATGTGCTATGCGACATGCACACACACACACACACACACACACACACACACACACGCACACACACACACTGAAGGCTGCGTTCTCTCTGATCCCGCATTAACTCAGCCGTCACTTTCCCTCCTCGTCTGGCTCTCTCCACAGGAGCGCATCTTCCTGACGCTGTCCAACTACATCTTCACCGCCATCTTTGTGACTGAAATGACAATAAAGGTAGGTGACGGTGATGGCATTTGGCTCCGTGTGGGGCGACAGGTCCTCTTTCACAGGGGGTAAACGAACCCTGCCCGGTCCCAGCACATTAACCAATAGTGGCTTAGTTTTATTTCCGCAAGGCTTTTTTTTCCCTTCTTCTTCTTTAAGTGCTCAGCGCACCTCTGTTTTCGATCAGTGTGTAGACTGGTCAAAACATTTTACCTCCAGGTTTGTGCAATAGCTCCCTAGCTGTTCACATAGTTTTACCTCTATTTAGTCCCTTTCTATTATATACAGGCCCTGCAACAAAACCACAACAGCACTATTAACTCTTTAATCTTGAGCCAAAATAATGGCTGTCTACTTTTAAATAAACTGCTCTCTTTCACTAATATAATTTCTTAATGTTTTTGTTACATTTATTATGATATGTAAAGAACATGACCCAACAAACTGAAATTTCCCAAATATATAATTTGTTTGTGACGCCAACTTCCATTCTGAGCAAGCAAACACAAAAATAAGGAGCACTGGAAGTTTGGCTGCTCAGAAAAGCCAAAAAATGGCGCGTTAGGTTTTCCACCAAAAGTTAAAAACGAACGAATTGTTTCTTTTTTAAATTAAATAAATAAAGAGACCTACAGTGGAGTATCAAAGTCTAATCATGATAAACCTTTACACATAATGTGAATGGTAATGAAAATGAGAAATAGTGATTAAAAACTGTTTGTTTTGTCCTCCCTACTGCACAATTCAGCACAGACGTGTTAGAACAATTCGAGCGGCAGTGGATCAACACTGAACACATTGGCTGTGTGGAACTACTTTGTGGTTTCTATGAGGGACATTAGATAAGAAATTTGTAATCATTGTTCTTGTAGGGTATCCCAAGAACTTCTCCACTACAGAATTTATACCACTTTAAAGCATGAAGTCCTGCTAGATACAGAATACATCAGAACAACAGAGGGGGTATGAAAAGTCCCTGTGAGCGCTCCAGCGCCAACTGCAGCCATAGTTTTTAAAATGACAAACAAAATTCACAGTTGTCAGAACCAAAGTGTGAAGCATAATTACCATGAACCATGTACACTAAAGAACCATTTAAATGTGTAAATGGTTCTTTGCATGTTCAAACAGTTTCTTTTATGATGGAAACCAGCTGTATCTGGTTCTTTAAAGCATCATTTTAATAATGATCCAGTGTAGCACCATGAAGGGTTCCACTATTGTTAAATCAAAGAACACCTTATCAGTACTGTATAAAACTCCTTTTTAGAACCTGTTCCAGCCAAGAATTTTTATTTTGGTGCATCACTAACAGATATATACCTCACACTTCAGTCACCTTTTATTACTTTGATGAAACGAATCACTAATAAGCCCTAAGTGATCTGAATTACATTCTGAATCTGTGCATGCTTGCTCAGAACAGTGCATCCGACAGTAAAGACAGCACAGTGCTTTTTTTATATATAGTGATAAAAATTAATCTAATTCCACATGCTAATGCAGTTTACTAGGCTAGATGCCTGTGAAACTACTCTGGGACAGATTTATTTAGCTGAAGCCAAAGTGTCTGAATGTATTTCCAAAAATAGGGGTATGACAGGGTTAAAATGCCTCTCCGACAGCTTCGACTTGCCTCAGACTGAATTAAAACTTCCAACAATTCCAGTCCCTTTATTTAGACTTGAGGACAAATTCAAAGTCTGCAGCATGAATAGACCGTTAAGACAAGTCCATCAAACGTCCCTTCAATTCTAGGCGCCACACCTGTTAATGCTACAAAGAAAGGATCGTCTGCCAAATATTCAAATGACTAGCATTGAAATGGAGGAACATGCGGAGACCTCTCAGGAGAAGACAGGAAAGTTCACAGGTGTCACTCACTCAGGTCTAGGGCTTCTATTCTGAGGCCCTGCTATATGCCAGGTCACACCTACTCAGGAGATTTCAAAATGAAAATCATGCGAGAGAATAATCATACTCGCTGGAGGTTAATTAACGGCGCCTGACAAAAAGTTTCTGGGGCGGCCAGAGATGAGAGGGGTGCCTCAACTTCTGGCTTTTTGGCGCCTGACATGTCTTTGTTCAGGTGAGGGTTTGATCAGGCTGCCGTTTGATATATTCACGCGCCGCATCGTTAGGAGCCTCGCGTTCCTGCAAAGAGCTTTTTTTAGGGAGATGATCCTACATTTCTGATTTGTTTACCTCGCCCTTTTGTAAACTCCTCTTAGAGGACTGCATGGTGCCACCACATTGGCTCAGCTCACGACTGCCATTGTAGTTTGGCAAAGGCCTAAAATGGCACGTGTCTTTTAAGAGTCTGTACTACAAACAAAACCATTGACTAAAGTTTCTGCCAGTGTCTACATTCCTTTTGCATTTTTTGCTCATTGATAACCAATATATTCATTTATTTGAAATTTGGAAGAAATTTTACCAGTTTATTGGATACATCTACCTTAAACATAGATTGCTGGCCATTTTATCAGAAACACCTACCTTACCAATGCACTTTGGAAGTTTCCAATTACTAATTGTAGCCTGTTGCCACATTATTGCCCCCAAAACCTCTAATCGCTACTGTTGGAATAGAAACCTCATTTCTCCAAAAAGGTTTACATGACAAGAAAAAAACATTCTTAACTTTTATTGGAAGTAAATGAATAAATAATGTTCTCCAAGTACCTTTGGTCCATTTTCTTTGGTCTGTATATCATGAATTTTTGACACATCATAAAGGGCAACTGGTCTTTTCAAATTATGTCAAAAAATGAAAAACAACAAAAATGGAGACAGAAGGTTTTATCCAAACAGCAGCGATATACTATATATGTTACATGTGCAGAGAGCACATTACATTCATTAAAAATAAACATTGTTAGCTAACAGCGGTTCACAAGCTAGCTTGGTTTGCTTGTGTTAGCAATTGTAAGGTTAAAAGAGCATGGACTAGAGGAATTTAGGGGCATATTTTAGAGGGAGTGTACCCTTATTGGCAGCAGATTGAGTCACACTGTAGAACCAAAAGTTTAACAAGTTGTCCCCACACATGTATTCTCATTACGACATTACCTCTGGCATTACGAGACTACCATTGGACCACCGCTGACCAGATATTACCTGTGGTGTACCATTCTCAGCACAGCATTGACACCAACATGGTAATAATATATTAGTAGGTGCTAATTTGAATGTGTACCTGATAAAATGTCTAATGAAGTGAAGGTACAAGGTAGATGTATCAAAAAAATCAGTGTACATTGAGTGTTATATTCTGGCAACATTAAAGAATGATTGTTTGTGTGTGATGAAGGTGGTGGCCCTGGGATGGTGTTTCGGGGAAAAAACCTACCTGAAGAGCAGCTGGAATGTTCTGGATGGTATGCTGGTGATGATCTCGGTCATTGACATCCTGGTGTCCATGATCTCCAACAGCGGCACAAAAATCTTGGGAATGCTGCGAGTACTGAGACTGTTGAGGACCCTGCGGCCCCTCAGGTACAGTAACCTGCTGACAGGTTCATTCTATACACTTCACCACCCAACATGAGGATTAGGATCTATCAGGATCTATACACTGAGGAAAAACATAGCCATATGTGTCACAATTATTGGCACCCCTAGAAATTCTTATGAACAAAATGTAACTGAAGCATGTTCTCAATTTTGTCCTCATGAGTGTTCAGGAACTCAGTCATCCATTACTTCCTGTTTCCCCAGGGTATAAATATGAGGTGTGACAGAGGTGAAATTCACTTAGTCATTCATCAATGTTAAAGAATGCACAAATGATATGTGACAAGTGTGCCGACCTTCATAAATCAGTCAATCGTTATTAAAAAAGCTGCATGCCTGAAAATGCCTATATCCACTGTTAAGGCCATAACTGAGAAGTTTAAAACAACCAGCGCTGTAGTGAACCTGCTTGGAAGAGGCAGCAAGTGTATTTTGCCCCTATGCACTGTGAAGAGGATAGCGAAGTCTCCAAAACTAAAATTAGACAATACCTTCATGCCAACAAGCTATTTGGAAGTTGTGAAGAAGAAAGCCTGCTCTTCATTGACCAACAAACTTAAGCACCTGGAGTTTGCTAGGTGGGTTTGGCCTTAAAATAAAGATGGTTGTACCGAAAAGAACCTCAACACTGCTGTTAAGCATGGTTGAGGATCTCTGATGTTTTGGGCTGTTTCCTCCCCAAAGGCCCAGGGAAGCTTAGGATACACGGCCTTGTAAACTCCATGAAGTACCTAGAGATTTTAAATGAAAATCTGTCTGACTCTACTAAAAAAGCTCAAACTGAGTTGTGGTTAGATCTTCTAGCAGTATAGTGATCCAAAACATTTTTGTTTATTCAGATCAAATTACTTCAGTGAAAAGTTTTTTTCATATTTTATTATCCACAAATAGAATTTTTCATGACCTTTTTTTATCCATATTTACCAAGAGTGACAATAATTATAAAACTGACTGTATGTATAGAATTACACACTGTAGTCTCATCTGTTGTCATGGCGACATCCCTTTAAACCATAACTGGTCAGTTTCTGACCACAAGATCACTGTTGGGTAGATGTCATGTTGGTGGTGTTGTTGCAGGGTTGTTGGGGTCACTGTATGGCAGAAAGTGGTCTGCCACCCAAAAAAATCTAGCAAAGACCAGTCCTGTGGTCAGAAACTGACCTGTTAATGAAGCAATACAGTTTATCGAAATGTGTTTGACAACAGATGGGCCACAGTCTCTAACTGTACACCTGCAGGGTATGGGTTTCTAATAAAGTGGCCACTAAGTGTATGTTATATGTTGTATATTGTCAGCAAACCAATTTAGTCAGTCTATAGAAACATCAAGCAGCTCTTGTTAATTTAAATGAAAAAAAAAAAGCTTACATGCCCTGGTACTTATTTATGTTAAAATCCTTGAATTCATCAGTTGAACACAAAGTTTATATCTTCAAACATAAACAATGAATTAAGGTCAGAGAAGTGCTGCATGTGCAGAACATCCAGTATTCTATAGAATATAATTATTAATGAGTAAACATGAAAGCACTAGCTAAAGAAGGGCAGGGAAATTTTGCCAATCTAGTGTTTACTGGAAATCTTACTTCAGCACTTTGATCTCCTTCGCTCCCTGTCCAAGAATCTAGGTGATGCTCTGTCTTACAGTGTGTGCATATGTTTGTGTGTGTGTGTGTGTGTGTGTGTGTATGTGTGTGTGTGTGTGTAGGCCTCATGCCAGTGCTCTTGTTAAGAGAAACCCTTGAGAGCTCCTAGCGCTGAAATATCTGAAATATTTATCCCATATTCATATGTAGCTCAAAAATCAAATATTCATCTTTGCTTCAAAGATTGGCTGCAAAATGCGTCTACTGGATCTATCACCTGATTATTCATTTATCATTGTTTTCCAACGATTTGAGTCTTCTTTATAGGATTCCTCTCAGTGCCATCAGTAGCTCTAAATTATGTGAGCGTGTCTAAAATTTAGAAGGAGTGATGAATTTGATATCATCTCAGGGAAAGAGGCATTAGGCATACAGGAACATGTAGAATTCCACTCATTTTGGAAGATTTTCCATGAAACACTTTGCACTTTCTTTCCATTTGTCAGTGACTGCATTCTGTACTTGTGCGTATTTGTCGTTGATGAACTAGCGAAGGTTGTGGATGCTCCATATGACACAACACTCTAGAACACACGGTGGAGAAATGTATTTTCCCACGATTGTCTTTACAGTGAGAGTCTTCTCGCGGTAGAGAGAGAATGAGAGTAAGTGATGGCTCTGTGAGGGCAGCAGAGATGGAATGCTGAGTGAGTTTTACTGAACATTACAGCTGACTCCACTGATGATCCCACTGATCAGAACACCAGCACTGTGTTAATTAGCCTTACACTAGTTCTCTCTAATCCTGCTCTGATTTAGAACTGTGCTCTCTCTCTTTCTGAATCTCTCTCTTTTTATCTCTCTCTTTCGCTCTTCTTTTTCTGTCTCTCCCCATCTCTTCTTTTTCTCTTTCTCTCTCTCCCTATCTTTCCCTATTTCCTATCTAAATGTCTTTCTCTCAACCATTTCTTTCCCTCTCTCTCATCTGTTTCTCTCTCTTCTCTCTCTCTCTCTCTCTTTCTCTCTTTCTCTATCTCTCTTTTCTATCTCTTTCTTTTTTTCTCTATCCCTATCATCTCTTCCTAACTCTGTTGTTCTAGCTCTTCCCCTCACTCTCTCGCTCTCTTTGTTTCTCTTTCTCTTTCTCTCTCCATATCTATTTCTCAGTCTCTCTCTCCCTCTCCATATCTCTGTCTCTTTTGTCTCTCTTTCTCTATCCCTATCTCTAGTGTCTCTTCCTTAACTCTTTGTTGTTCCCTCTTTATCTCTCCTCATATCTTCCTCTCTCTCTCTCTCTCTCTCTCTCTCTCTCTCTGTTTCTCTTTCTCTTTTTCTCTCCATATCTCTCTCTCCATCTCTCTCCACATTCCTTGATTTCTGTCTTCTTTTCCATTCTCTTTCTGTCCTTCTCTCTCTCTATATTTCACTCTTATCTCTTGATCTCTCTATCTCTCCCTCTATCTATCTATCTATCTATCTATCTATCTATCTATCTATCTATCTATCTATCTATCTGTCTGTCTGTCTGTCTGTCTGTCTGTCTTTTCCTCTCTCTTTCCCTATCTACCATTTCCCCCCTCTCTCTAATTATATCTTTTTTCTGTCTTTATCCTTTTTTTCTCTTTTTCTATTTCTCCCTAAAAAAAGATATTTCAGTAGAATACTGTTCAGTACACTCTCCAAAGCACCTTTGAGAAGATATATAAGTGTGAAGAATATTTTAAAAGTTTAAAGAACCTCCACATAATATAAAGGCTCCATACTAGTGAAAAGTCTTTCCTAGAACCATAGTCCAAGCAGAGAACCATTTAGAAGCCTTTGTTACTGTGCATTTGGGAGCTGGTGACTGGTATATATTACTTTATGGGTTACCTTTCTGCCTCTGTACAGAGAAAAGTCTTAGCAAAGATGTTGCTTTTTCTAGATTATGTTGCTGCCATTTTCAACCCAAAAAGTTGTGTTGTGTAAGGTGAAATAACCTTTGAGCGATGTGTGAGTGGGACCCAGTTCTCTCTGTGGTACAGAGCAGATTCCCTGGAGGAGAAAAGCTGTGTGAATTAAACATGAAGCAGTCTGTGTTTCTTGCTCCAGCTCTGGAGCGTTTACATTACAAAGGTAGCCTATTCTCGCGCTGAGCTTCAGCCAGCCACCCGAGCGCTCCGCTTCAGAGCGTTTTACAGCCTGAGCGCCGGCCTCAGCATCACTGAACACCTTTCAAACTTTCATTCCACTCTCCATCCTTTCTTCAGTTGCTGGGTTTTATGTTAATACGCTCCAGCGCTGAGTCCAAGTTAAAAAATCAAACAAAAGACAAAGAGTCATAAAAAAGTCTGCACTGCAAGATTCAACTGCCCCACAAAGATGCAGGCAGGGAGGTGCAGGGAGGGCTGCTGGGTAATCTACAACATATGTGCATTTGGACTGTGTGGTGATTTAGGTTCAAGGTGGGATTTGTTACTCACTGTGTGTGTGTGTGTATGTGTGCGCGTGTGTGTTGAGTTGATGGGCTGCATGATTCTTGATTACGTGGGATACACTTCTCACTTACATACCAATTCTGTAAAGGACAACATGTATATTTGCTCGGTTCTTACATGTAGAACAACATGTATGTTTTCACTCTCAGAACAAAAGCTTGTATTTTCACATATCAGTGAAGTAGCAGTAGTTAATGTCCTATAGATGTTCTGTTGATACATTACGTTACTTACATTAAGCAGATGTATTGTTAATATGTTAGTTCCATTACGCAAACCTAACCTTACAAACCTCACCCAAAACCTAACGCTCTCCCCTGGCCCTAATCCTAACCCTAACCTTAACCTCAACCCAAAACCTATTCCAAACCTTTTTTGACATGTTACTAATCTAAAAGGACTACTCAAAATAAGGTGTCACCAGAATTTCATGATGAATGGACCAATAGAAATGCTACAAAATTACTTACAACTAAAATATTGTTCCACTGACTTCCATTAAAAGTTAAGATTGTTTTTTTTTCTTTCTCCTATAAAGTCACCAGTTTAGAGATACAAGGGTTTGTTGTGACAGCAGCAATATTAGGAGCTCAAGTATCAATATAATCTGCAGTTGCAAACATGTAAACAGATCATCGCTGTTCAAAGGACAAGAACAAGTTTCTTTAAAATGCTGACTTTAGAGTAGAGGGCAAAAAATGATATTATTCCAAGCAATTTTGGAGCATTTCTGTTGGTTTGTTCATCAGAAAAATATCACACAACTTAAAAGGCAGCTGTTTTGCTCAAATGGTGTAGAAAAAAAAAAAAACAGAACCTTTTTTTTGGACAGCAACAAAATAAACATAAATAAATACATAAATAATAAACTACATATTGTTTATAAACTATTTTAAACAAACAAACAAACAAGCAA